GTGAAAAGTAATCGATCTATTTTATATAACTTTAGACATTATACTGTCACAAGAGGAGTCTAAAATTTGTTATAAGCTCCAAGATATCATTGCCATTCTGGGTATGGATGAATTATCTGAAAAAGATAAACTTACTGTTGCCAGAGCTAGAAAAGTCAAAAGATTCCTTTCTTAACCATTATTTATGTCTGAAATTTTCTCAGGAAGATAGGGTAAATTTGTTTCTCTTAATGACAATATTGCTGGATTCAGAGGTATTATATCTAACTATTTTAGCCTTTGCTCGATGGTGAGGGTGATGAATATCCAGAAAATGCATTCTATATGTAAGCGACTTTTCAAGATTTCATTGAAGAAGCAAAATGAGTTGCAGCTGAAACAAAAAAATGAAATATAATTTTAATAGCACTAAAAAAATTGAATATAGAAATTATACAGATCACTTTTGAGCTATGAATAATTGATTTTTCATAAGGGAAAACTAAAATATTTATATTATTAGACTATTTTCAGGTATGAAAAAGCACATTTAAGTCTTAAATTAACACAATTTTCTAAATAATCATGACAGATATTGTTCACTACCTTCTTGAACTAAATAATATATATTCTAATCATATTAATCATCGTATTGGATTTAAGGTTCACTCTTAAATTATTCAATAGGATTATCGATAGGCTTAAAGATTTAAGAACAACTCCGATAGAGTCAAAAGCAGTATGTCTATCTGTTTAAATCTTTTTTTAGGGATTCTTGTTCATACAATGAATCATTTGGTTATAAGTTTCGATTAGAACGAAAATCATTTTCAATTAAATTGTAATCCTCTAATTCTGGCTGAAACTCTTAACCTTAACCCAAATTAAATTGTGATTGATTATTTCTTTACTTATCTTCCTATTTATTTTTAATTTAAAGCTTTGTTCGTTTGAACTTTTGTAATGATGAATTTTCATTTTTTTAGTTATTCATAAAAAATTATTTGCAAAATTATTAAATAGCAATCATAATTAAAACGCATTTATTAATTCCAAAAAACTTTTATATAATTACTGAAACGTTTAACGTAAGAGAAAATTTCGAGATTACCATGAATTATTAGAAGCAAAAATTTTTAATTAAGATAATTAGATTTATAATGTTTGTAAGTAGGAAAGAGATTAATATAAATTAATTATGCTATTTAGCTCTGCCTTTAGATTTTGCTCTTTTAACAAAGATCTATTCTAAAGCCAGAAGCCATTCATTCAAATTTATAATATTATAAAAATTCTTATTTCAGATAATAAAATATATAATAGAACATCATAAGACCAAAATATAGCATTTTCATGATAATTAATTTCATTTCAACACTTTTGGTGCCATATGATACAATGCTTCAAATTTTTCACTCATTTATTGGTTAGTTAAAAATATTTTTGCTTTTCTTCAATCCACAACTTTAACATTGGAATTGCTTTGTTTAGTTATATCAAGTAAGAAATTTTCGGGCTTTACACTAAATTAATTAATTTTATTAATATATAATAATAATATATGAATTCTATATAATTAATTTATACTCTATTTTAAATCCTTATGAACAATGCTTTGATTATGCTCATATAGTATTGATGACATAATCTATTTCATAACATAAAAGGCTAATTTTTCTGAAAACATTCTTTCTCGATTATTTTATCAAATAATTCTTCACGAAATACGAGTTCATCGTAGTTTTTTTCATCTTGATAGAACTCATAAAATATAAGTAAGCGAAGGATGATCTAAGAATTTGTACGCATTTTTTTCGTTGATTAACTTTTACTATAATTCAGTTGTAGATAGTCTGGATTTGCTAATGACCTATCATAAATGATGTTTTAAAGTAAGATAATTTAAATTAACCAACAAGTTCTATTACTTTTAAGAGATTTATTTTTTTAGATTTATTAAATGGATCAAATTGTTATGAAGATTGATAAATGAATATTATTGTTATTAATATAAATACCAAATGATTGTTTTTCTAATTAGGGCTTTGATAGGGTAAGGATTAAAATAAAATTAGATGTTGTCTTTAAGCAGCTCCTTATTTTAATTTTGATACTGTAACATCTCATGTAAATATATCATTAAATTACATGATAATCAAGGACTAAACAGGTAAGAATATCATTTAGGTTATGGAATGTGACA